GTTGCATTTATGTTTGATGAGATTCGTTACGAACTGGATGGTACAGAGATTGATCGTAACAGAAACGTGGGGATAACTTCCACGCTGAAAAACTATGTATCGTTATCTTCGGACAAAAATGCTACCATGAAAAATGCTGCGTGGGATACGACTGACGCTGTTTCGACAGATGGATACTTCAACTTTTGCGTGCCACTTAACATGTTGCTAGGATTCTGCGAAGACTACAAGCGTGTAGTAATTAACGCGCGTCACGAATTAATTTTATTACGGTCGCGCAGTGACAACAACAGTCTACTTGGATCTTCAGCGTTGCAACCTAAGATTGAGCTATTCAAGATACAATGGCGAATGCCTCATGTAATGTTGAATGATATCAATAAACTTGCCCTGCTGAGAACATTGGAGAATGGTCGATATCTGAGTATGAGTTTCCGCTCATGGGATCTGTATGAATTTCCTCTGCTGCAAAGCACGACCAAACATCTGTGGACTGTCAAAACAGCCACTAATTTGGAAAAACCACGATACGTTATCTTTGCCCTGCAAACTAGTCGAAAAAATGTCATGTCGGAAAATATAACTCAATTCGACAACTGCAATTTAACCAACGTAAAGCTCTATCTAAATTCAGAGTGTTATCCATACGATGACATGAATTTAGATTTTGTAAAAAACAGATATGCAATACTTTATGATATGTATAGCCGTTTCCGCAAATCGTATTATGGATACAACAGTGCTGAGGTATGGTTAACAACTATCGACTTTCTGAAGCATGGTCCTTTCGTGGTTATCGATTGTTCGCGTCAAAACGAATCTGTTAAGACTGCCACTGTAGATGTGCGGATAGAATTTGAGTGTAGAGAGAATATACCAGCGAATACTACCGCATACTGTCTGATCCTGCATGATCGTGTAGTTGAATACAGTCCACTAACCAACTTAGTGCGCAAAATTAACTAACACATTGGAAAGTATGAGAAAAGAATAATAGAAAACATCAAAAGGCTATACACGACATTTCTTTCCCGAACGTATCGAAGAGTACTTCGCTATGGTCGAACCAACGTTTGTGGACTTGCAAGGATTCGTTGTTAGAAAGAGATTTATTGTAAAGGAAGTAGCGATACTTAGGAATGGATCTGTTCTCTCCCTTTATATCTTTACTAGTCCCATGCCATGGCATCTTCTCGCAAGATCCGACAAATCGAGAGCATACTGGTTGACGGTTAATCATCATGGACTACGATGGAATGACGGGATCGTTACATGCAGCAGAGCCAAGCACTTGATTACGACAGTTGTGGTTGGCAAATCATGCGATGTGGAACATAAAGACGTTTCCCCCCCACTC